GTAGGTGCCACGTGATGGCACTCGAGATAATCTATTCCATTGGCTTCCCTGGCACAGAGGTCAGTGACAGGCCTGTAGTTTCCTGGATCCCCCTTCCTTATAGATGGGTGTCACATTTGCTAACCACCAGTTGACTGGGACCTCCCTGGATTGCCAGGACTGCTGATAAATGATGACCCTTAGGTGAATCCCATCTGGTCCCATACAATTGCTTACATCTAAGTGGTTTACCAGGTTACTAACCATTTCTTCATGGATTATGGGAACCTTGTTCAGCTCTCTCTCCCTGACTACCAGTTCAGGGAACTGGGTACCTAGAGTTGGTCTTGCTGCTAAAGACTGAGGCAAAGAAGGCATTAAGCACCTCAAACTTTTCCTCATCTCTTGTCACTATGTTTCCCCCCACATCCAATTTCTTGTTTATGTATTTATAAAAACATGTTTTATTGTCTTTAACAGCAGTAGCCAGATATAGCTCCAGTTGGGCTTAGCCCTTCTAATTTTCTCCCAGCACAGCCTCACGTCTTTGTAGGCCTCCTGAGTGGCCTGCCACTTCTTACAAAGGTTATAAACCCTCTTTTTTTTTTCCTGATCTCATAATAGATCTCTGTTTAGGCAGGCCAGTCTTCTTCCGCCTGTTCTATTAGGATGTCCTATTTCCACTATATATGGACATCTATAGCAGAAAGCCTCTCTCATCACAGAGTGATTTGCTAAATCTCATACAGGGTGTTTCAAACATTGAAATAGTTTTATTTTCATAAAGTTTTGTGTTTTTTGTTTTTGTGTGTTTTTAAGGAATGGTATTTGAAACTTTGCTGAAGCAAAAAGGTGTTTCTCTACAATGAATAAAACACCAAAATGTCAGGATACTGTGAGATGTCCAATAAAAGGAATTCATGCACTAAGGAAAGTGAGGGTGGTGGGGGGGAATAAATTATTTCAAATAATAAAGCTCCTTTCATTACGGTTACTCAAAGCCAAAATATATCTGACCAAGGAAAGCAGATGATGAGTTTAACAGAAAGCAGCATTGCATTTTTAATACATTTAAGAATGGCAAAATAAATATTTTTAAAGCTACACATATTGATATAATTACAGACGAAAATTAAGAATTCTGATATGTACTGCAATTTATTTATTTTTTAAATCCTTAACAAGGAATTGACTAGTTTAATCCAATATGGAAAGTTGTAAAGAGATTCTGATCTCTGATTTTAAATGGTTAATTTTATGGCTAAATAAATATCTGGTAATAAAACATTAAAGAATATTGCTCAGTAGGTCTGAAATTCTGTGTGGAATAACAACTTCTGTAACTATTTAGAACTGTCAACTACAAACAAGTTCTACTGTTTATGTTATGCCAGATGTAGAATACAACCTAGTCAGCAAGTACAACTACGTCCAGGTTTGCAACAAGCAACCATTCACAGGCTTGCAGAATGCTGTGGATATGCCCCCATGACCAATCTCTGTATCCAGCATCATTTGTATAATGGGAATCCACTGTAAAACCAATTTTTGCACAAATGTAAACATTTAAGAATTCTGCAAGTGGTTAGTATTGATGTATAAGCATGAAATCGACGTATCCTGTCTCCTGTTCCTCCTTTCAATGTTGATGCCCTCTGGAGAGAAATAATCCTACTCTCTCTAGCTTTGCTGCTTTCACATTTTGGAGAAAATCCACTTAATCCTGGATTTGGAAAATGTTTCAAAGGCATTGCTATAGGCAAAATCCTATACTTTAACCAAGAGAATAAATAAAATGGAAGACCCCTGCATATACAAATACAATACCCCTGCATTTTTGTTACTGAGGTAGCCACCTCTTATACCAAAAAAACCTCTAGGTTTTCAATATAAGCCAGTCAGTGTGAATTGTGAGCCCAGTCTTTTAGACTTGACATGGATATAGAATTTTATGCTAGCAAATTGCATTTCAACACTGGGGCCAAAACATGCCCCTTAAAATCTACAGTTCAAAGACAGCAAACATGAATCTGAAAACAATTAAAGACCCAAATCTCTATTTCTGCATTCCCTACTTCATTTCTGGAAACTTGGACTTTATTCAGAGAGCCTCAAGGTCTTCAAAGACAAAAATGAAGAACCTAATTAGACATGAAGTAAAACAGTTAACTAGAACTACATGGAGCACAGGAAAAGGATTAGCTATTTCTATTTTAAAAATCATTATTTCATACTCTCCAGATATTTTTATCCTTTCAGAATAAGATTTCTTTGGTCAGAAAATATTTAGGTAAACATATTTCTACAGAGCCCAGGAAAATGGAAATCTCAGCCCAATTGGAATATTTGTCTAACATCCTTAGCATTATTGCTTGATAGTTAGAAACCTCAAACTGTCCACCTGAAAAATGGCCAGAAATCATGTCAAAAAAGTAAACCTGCCTCATTTATAGACTTAGGCTATTTAAGATGGAGAGAGGAACTGATATAAGAAACACTAACTTTCTAGGTTTTCTAATCACTATAAATTATGGAAAGGATAACCACAGTTCAAAACCATGATACTGTGGATACCTGCCTTGATCAGACTGCCACTTCCTACATAGTTCTTGATAAAGGTTCAAGTAGTGGAAGTAGGCAGGTAGGGGAACACTTTCAAGCCAGGATTTACAATATGTACAGCTTTCATACTAACAGCCACAAAAGCAGTTCCTACGAAAACAAGGGGTTACTTCAGCCAAACAGAAGCTATACCAAGCTGTTGTAGTATAAAATAAGCTGTATACTTCATAAGTAGAGTAAAAGGCAGGCAGAATTTGCAGCCCTTTGTTTATAACATCATATTTTAGTTTTCTGATTCTGTGCCCTGTAAGAATATGGTTTTGATTTTGCTGTTAATCAATGCAGCCAGCACATATTCTTCTCTGTCAAACACGTTACATATTGTGAAATATAAAAGGCAGTTCAAGATTAATGTCTCTCAATTATATTCCATTTCTGCCCCTTCTGGCTTTAAAATCAATCATATTTGTTAACCATGGGATGCAAGCAACACATTTAATAAATCAAACGCCAAGATGATTGAGACACAGTTACTGGTCAGTGGAAAGTTGCAAGATAACCAAATAACCTTTTATCCACACTGATGCATTTTTATGCATTTTTTTTGAATTCCAATGGACATTCACTCATACAATTCACATTCCTCCATTTTTATGTAACTTTTATCAATTCCCATGGACATTCATTCATTGAACATAATCTGCAAAAATATCAGGCTTCTTGATAATCTAACACTGTTACAGTTGCACATCAGTCTCTCTCTCAGGATGTTATTAGTTTAACAATATGAATGGCCGATTCAGTGCCATGCTCAATTTTATTTTTCAAAGGAAACACAAAAGTATATCCAGTGTCAATGTTTCAGAGAGAAGCCTTCTAAAAATGCCCCAGATCTGTATTTTGTCCTAACAGTAGGGTTGTAGAAAGGTTTCTGCAAGTTTCTCAGACTCTGAAACTTGACTCAGTTTTCCTGAGGGGGCAACAAGAACAATGAAAGATCTTCACAGACATGTGATACAAATTATGCTAAATTCCAACCCAAGAGCCACACTAAAAAGTATTGACTGGCACTGTGCCCACCAGGGACTATATGCCAACTGGAGCAGGATGCAGTCCAGCTATTCAGCTTCCTATGATGAGCAACCATGTGCCAAAAATTTGGACTACTGGCAAAACCATGCTCTATGCCTCTCTCTTCTATCAACGTAATTCCAAACAAAAACTTTAACACAAAAGAGAAAAGGCCTTACAACTGCACCTCTTTTTATACTATTCATCAATGACCTTAATTAGAATCTCAACTAAATATATTTATACCTTGTATGTCATGAGCTGGGATCAATATTAGGTACGTTTTGTTTAACAGACAACACAAGAAACTTCTATACTGTATCGCAAACTACATTTTCAAATACAAATTACCAGAAACTTGAAGAATATTTTTTATCATGGAAATGACAAGAATACATTAGCTACTGCCAAACCTTCAGCAATCTGCCAATAAAATCTCTAACCTTCACACATGATTGGAGCCAGTATTTCAAAACTGGCCATAACAGTAAATTCCTTTTGCTATGAATTTGAAGCTGACCAGAAACCCTGTGTCAGAGTCCTAATGAGTCACCTAGAAAGACCTAGAAGAAAGTTAAACAGTTTTTGTAACCAACTGTTTTGGAAGGATGTGTTTATAAGTAACCCAGCCCCATACAGTCAGAGCAGCCCAATTTCAAAGGCCTGTACAACAAGCTTGCAAGCATCTATCTCTCAGAAAACACCAAGGAAAACATTGTGCCAACAATGCAGGACTTACTGAGTTAAAATTAGGTACATACTCAGAAAGGTAGCAATACACTTTTAATCAAGACTCTTTGCTAAGTGTAGATAATTTAAATACAGTTGACAGGGAGTGAGAAGAGATCTTGTCTGGGGAGGACATGCATTCTAAGTCACCGTAAATTTTAATAAGTTATAAATACAGTTGGATGCCTTCTCACTTTGTAGCATGACTGGATCATACAACACCAGTAATGAAAGCTACATCACTCTGTATTTGGTAGCTTAAGTAAATTAACATGTAGTGGTTGCATAGTTCCTAGTGGGCAGATAATATACACAATACACATGCTACATAAAGTTGTGCTACAGGGGATACCATTCTCATCATCTTTGATGGCATGTGGCAATTGAGTTAAACACTATGAAAACTTTGAGAAATAAGGTCTTAACAAGTTACTAAAATTGGTAAACTTTTGTTGTTTGGGGATTTACCAAAACCAGGCAAAACAAAGAAACTATAGAATAGGAATCAGATGTGGCTGCTACATAGTAATTAGGTATATGATAGTATAATACTTTGCACATTAAGCTGAATCCTAGGAACATGCATGAAGGGACTAAGTTAACTACAATACAAGCAACTCCTACAGTTTTGAAGAAAAATAAATAAAAACATTACTTACACAGTTGTCCTCTGATCCACTGGCTATAAATCGCCCACAAGGAGATATTGCAATTCCACATGGGTAGCAGCGGCTACTGTGCCCTTCAAATCGACGTTCACACCTTTAGAAGAGTTTCAGGAAGTCTTATTAATAGCAAAAACAACCTAGCTCTTTTACTACCGTTTTCTTGAAATTCTGCTGAAGCCTTATTCATTTTCCTCAGTCTACAAACATAATTTGTGAATTTGCCTTAGTTAAGTTAAAAATAATTCTGTCCCAAAGTGTTGTGAAAACTGGAAATAAAATGAACACACAATACTACAGGGCAATGCTAAACTCATGTTTTGGCCTTGTTCTGTTACAAAGGTAGAGATATCACTAGCATCTAGAAATGAGGAGCTGTGAAGCATGCTGTCAAACTACCCACAGTTAGCTATCTCAGCAGGGAAAACCAAAACAACCCTGCTTTAAGGGGAGGGTGTTGTGAAAGCCAGCGTGCACTGGGAAGCTTTATAAATCTCCCTCAGGCCATTTCCATCAAATCAAGATGCAGCATGTTGAAACATAATGTAAATAATTATTGCTCGCTTTTCTTATACTTTTTTTTTTATTATTATTTTTAGATTTTCTTAAATCTGGATACTTAATCTGTGTTGCTACTTGCATTCCTACTCCACGCACTCATTTACTGAATCTAGTAAAATCAAGAATGGCAGCATACAAATGACATTCCAAAGTCATAAATCTATCTACAGTACAACTGTAGATAGCTTCTTACTTATCTTTGTTAGTTCAGTCTAAAGGAAGGAATACATTTAAATTTAACATAAGGAATTAGTTTCTTACTTTTAATGTTAATACTGCAAAGCAGCATAACTAGCAATGTGGAGTAAGTTTTTGATAGCTGAGCACGCTTGGGCCATTTAAAAACATATTTTTCAAACGAGATGAAGACTACTATCCATTTAAAAAAAATCCTCGGTTGTAAAAAACTGTGATAGTTTTGTAGTCACAACAAAACTAAGGAAAAAAGTCTGATTTAGAGTTGTTTCAATGTTAAAAGTAATTTACATGTACAACTTGGAGTTTCAATCCCATTCAGAATGATTATCTGTAAATGTGTGCCTCATTTCAAATGTTAATTTTTATACCCACTAGAAAGTGTCATTTCAGAACACATAATAATCTGCATTTTTCTTTTTTTCCTTTATTATGAATGTTATCACATTGCCTTTCTCCTTACAAAACAAAAGCTTTGTCATTATACAGCTGTCATACGTTCTTCTTTTCATGTATGTTAAATCCAGGAACAAATTTGAAAGAGTAAAATCTCCTGCCAACACCTGTGATATGCACTTTTCCCTGGCCAGTGAAATCACAGACACTGTGTTAATTCAATTGACTGAACTTGCGTGCAGAAATGTCTAAATTTTTATACCACATTGCTCTTTTTTACACACGCATGTATGTCTGAATGCCAAGTTGATCTTGCTCACCCAGGTGAAACAGGCATACTTGAACAAAAACATCACTCTGAGACTGATCCAATGGCTATCACTTAGCAAACCATAAAAAGGACCATTTTGAATGCATGTAAATGCATCATTTTATGGAGTGTATATTTGGCTGAACCTCTGTCTAACAAAACTACTGATTTCAATGGACATTTTGAGTATAGAGTAACCAGACTTTTCACTTCAGGCAAATTCTACCATAATAATCTTGTAAACAATCCAGCTTAAGAGAACGCTGCAGGGTTGGTTTTTTTTGTTTGTTTGTTTGTTTGTTTGTTTGTTTTGAAAAAAAAAAAAGGTAAATTATAGAGACAGTCAATTACTATGACTAATATATAAAAACATTCTTCTGCTTCAGTTTCCACCATAGGTGTTGGGTCGATATACCTGCCTCTACTCAAGTTTCCTGTTGTCAGCAAAGGACAGTAGCAATTGTTTCAGTCTCCTCTCAAACACAGCATTCTAGCACACATAAATCCAAAGATTATGTAATGGCAGACAAATCACAGAATACTTACATAAATTACACTTTCAAAGAGGCAAATAATATTCATATATTCTCTGTCACTCCTGAATATGCCTTTGGAATCACCATTCTTTTTTAAGTAGACCACTAGCCATGAAGACTAGCTCCTAGTATTTAAGCCCTCATTCTCAGGGCCTGTAAATGCTAACTTTCCTAATAAACTGTCTTTCTCACAGGGAAGTCTCGTAGCAAATCAGTGACAACAACTTCTTTGCAAAAGAACTTGACTCCTTTGCAGCTATGACTAATAACTCAGCTACTCTACCTACGAATGGATGCTTAAGAACTTACACAATTACAAGGCTTCCAGGGATCTTTTCTATGCTACACCACAGCAATGTAAAACAAAGGCTGAGTCATAGGGCAGTACCACTTGCCACCTTGCTAGTACAGCCACAGTAATAACTAACATCCTGGATTCTACTTTTTTAGTTGTTTTCCTACTCAGGATCGCCATTATAATCAGGATGTATTACTATCCTGCTCCCTCAAAATCCTGCTCTAAAACATTTCAAAAAAAAAAAAAAAAACTGATTCTAGTTAAATTTTCCACAGAATCTAGCAGAAACTGTGATATAATGTCTATTAACTCCAGATATCCCCAGGTAACACAGTGATGAAAAGAAGTGAAAAGAAATCTTAGAATAAATTGATATAATGCATATAATTTTAGCTTATTCTATGAGTTCTTTTATTTCAGCTTTTTTTTTTTTTTCTTCCATTTTGTTAAGTAGCAACAGGTGGTGATCAAACTTATTTTGGATATTGCAGGTTTTCCCTGGCCAGCTGGCATGCTGTCCAGCCTCCTAAGAATAAATCTTTGGTCAGAACTTTTCAGGAGTTACCATGGCAAACATCTGGTAATTGCAAGGGACAGCAAACAGCCAAGTTTTCCCTATGTTTTCCAATGTACAGCTTTTAGTCTAATTTCCAAAATATGTATCTTTTTATGTCACAAACAACTTGTAGAATATTATGAGGAAAAAAATGTAATGTGGTGTTTCTGTCTTTGTAAGAGAATGATACCAGAATAAGACACGTCTTTATAAATCAGGGAATATCGTCACGAATGAGTATTTCATTCTTCTCGCTGCATTCAAAATTGACAGCAGATCAAAGTTTTCTTCTTTTTTAACCACCTTGCCTTCTACTTTATCACTTTGTCCCAGTGCTCTGGTATTTGTTCAGAGACCTTTCAATACGAGCAGATCAATCCATTGAGACTATGAAAATCTAAGTATAACTTGACAGAAGTAGTAGCTACCTCAGATGTTCTGTACATGTGGGTTTCATTTAAAACATACACTGAACCCTTCACAAAGGAGCTCGGGATGCTTTCACCAACAGAATCCAGCAGGGACCACACACTCCCCATCCCGTATATTTTGATGTATCCCCAATCTCAAACTTGGAGGAACTCCAGACACTGCTTATCCATTTCTCCTTTGTTATCCTCAGGTAACAAGATAACTCAAATCTCTGGGAGAAAAAGAAAAAAAGATGAAAAATTATGGGATCCTCAGGCTGAGCAGAGACCAAGAAGTAATCAAATTCTGGGTATGTATATACATATATTTTGCTCAGGATGACATCAAGCAGTTAGTTCACAGTAAAGATAGAAACTGAAGTCTCTGAAAATTGAAGGTAACTCATTCAAACTGCATGTCTGACCCTAATGCTCTCAAAGTGTAACTGTTAGAAAATGTATGAGATGAGTTCCATGTGGCTGCAGGAATTCTACTAAAGTACATTGCCAGAGGAGCTTATGATCTAGTTGCACAAGATCATAATACGAGCTGGAGATACTACCTTAATGTCAAAAGCTGTCTTGTATAAAGAATTGGCAAATCTTTTCAGAGGCTGAAAGAGGGTGAAACCAATTTTTATCTCAGATCTTCCTTCAAAGCATTATCATGAATTTGAGTAATCCGCAGAAGAAATTCAGTATTTCCGAACAATCCAATATTCTTCCAAAGTCTTCACTGTGGTCCAATAAGCATACACTGCTTTTTATCCAGAAAGAGATGAGGAATGGCTGTTTCAGCAGCAAACACAGTTAGAGCAGCTGAATTTCTATTCCTCAACTCCTCAGAGTGAGCCAGAGACATGTTGCTGCTGCCACCAAAGGTGATACTGGCTGGGGGCTCCTCATAACATCTTACCCCTGACAATCTCAGTAGCAGAAAAGGTAATTTAGCAGCTCTCACATCTGCTTCCCCAAACATAACACGGTAGCAGCCCAGTCCTCTAAAAAGACCAAAAATATATATTAAATGGCAATAATATGGAGCTATGGTAACTTTTCCCAGCTCTCCCCACTTCTGCATATAAAACAAGCACATCTGACAGAACATCACCACTGTCCCACTCCTCCCTTGCAATTTAATTCCCAGTTTTAACTGTCCTTTTCCATCTTGTTTTCTTACTACATATCACAACAGCTGTCCCAGCAAATTCTTCACCTCTGTATCTCTGTAACAAGTAGAGAACAGCAAGTGCTAGCTTCACAGAAGCGCAGAATTGTTGATGCTGGACAGGACCTCCAGAGGTCACCAGGTCCAAGCCCCTGCTCAAGCAGGATCATCTAGAGACAGTTGTTCAGGAACATGCTCAGATGGCCTTTGAGTATCTCCAAAGACAGAGACTCTACAGGCTCTCTGGGCAACTTGTGACAGTGCTCAGTCACCTGTACAGTAAAAAAAAAAAAAAAAAAATTTTTAGAGGGAACATTCTGTGTTTCAGTTTGTGTATATCACTTCTCCTCCTGCCACGGGACACCACTGAAAAGAGACTGGGTCTACCCTCTTTACAGCCTCTCAACATATTTACAAACACTGATGAGATTCCTCTCCCTCTACCCCCTGGATCCTTGTCTTCCCTGGGCTGAATAGTTCCAACTCTCCCAACCTTTTATCATAGAAGAGATGCACAATCCCTTCAGCATTTTTGTGGCACTATGATGGATTCTGCCTAGTAGCTCCATATTTTTGTAATACTGAGACCAGAACGGGACACAGTTCTCCAGGTATATCCTTTACCTCTACTCAGCCATGGTGAGGCTCACCTGCCCCAGCCTGCTGG